TTGGCTGTGCTAAATTGCCCATAGTGTTTAGGGATGTGCAGGTTGGGTGGATTAGCCATGGGAAATGCAGTCTTATAGGGTAGAGGGATGAGTCTGGGCGGGATACTCTTCAGAGAGTCAGTGTGGATTTATTGGGCTGAATGGCCTGTTCCTATACTGTAGGGGTTCTGTCAAAAAAGGATATGTCTACTAGATTTCCAGAGGCCATCCTATAACACAACATCATGACTAAAAGGAGTGTAGAAGAGTTATTCAAATTTTTTTATTGGATATGGACTACCTGTAGAAATACAATCAGAACAAGGATCAAATTTTACATCAAAGTTAATCAAGGAAATGATGAACAGGCTCAGGAGTAAAACAATTTAACTTAATGAGGTTGCTGACTTGCTCGCTGAGCTGGCTTGTTTTTGTTCAGACGTTTCGTCATCATGGTAGGTGACATCATCAGTGGAGCCTCCGATGAAGTGGTGTTATTATACTCCGCTTGGAATTTATACTGTCCGGTCCGTTACCGTGAGTATTGTCATTTCTGGTTTTGATCTGTATGGGTTTGTATAGGGGGTCCAATTCTATATGTTTGTTGATTGCATTACTGGTGGAGAACCATGCCTCTAGGAATTCCCTTGTGAGTCTATATTTGGCTCGGACTACTATGGTTACCTTGTCCCAGTTAAACTGATGGCCTTCATTGTCTGAGTGCACCGATATTGTGGAGAGTTTGTTGTGCATCGGTAGCATCAATTTAAATTCCAAGCGGAGTAGAGTGACACCACTTCATCGGAGGGTCCACTGATGATGTCACCTAGCATGGTGACAAAACTTTTGAATGAGAACAAGCCAGCTTGGCGAGCAAGTCAGCAACCTCACCCACAACCTGAGCTACAGATCTTTGCCAAAACTTTAAATTTAACTTAATTGTGTACCATGCAGAATCACAGGGAGCATTAATACAGTCGCATCAAACTTTAAAAACTATGTTGAGAGCCTATAGTCAAGACTATCCAGTGGAGTGTGTTATGGACTAGACCAAACCCCCTCAAAATATTCAGAAAATTTGATTGGTCAAACTACTGGATTTAAAGCGAAACCCACTTTATTCATCCACTGTAGTTAAAATACAACAAAAGAAAGAAGGAATTGGAATAACTGAACTCTATTGAAAAACTTAACAGAATAATAGATGCAGTATCTACTATTAATTAACCGTTCCAATATAGTGACATCCTATAAACACACCCTTGGCAGAAGATGAATTCAGAAAACAGATTGTCTCACATGTAACTCCAATAGCAGGAAGAGAACCCCAGCTTTTGGCTGTAACTGAGAGAAAAATAGCTTCCACTTCTTCAAGACCCCAACAGCAACTGCTGAGAGATAAAAACTAAAAATCCTGCTTCTATGGGAGTTTGACTCCACAGAGTCATTCAGGCTGCTTCTTTTATTCAACTTTTAAAAAAACCCAAGGCCTCACAAGCTGTTTAGTGGGTCTGGTAGACTGCTCAGTGCCTCTGCCTTCAAATCTCTCTTGAAAAAAACAGGACAAAATACTCCTCTTAATGCCACAATATCATCACAATTGGGATAAAGGAATTCCATTTGTACTGTCTTTGCAATTTGGATTGTACCTCACGAATCAACTAAATTCAATCCATTTGAATAGCATTTGGACCTGAGGAGAGAGGACTGCTTAAATTAATTAAGGAAATATTGATGAGTCGGAGTTCAGAGACTACATATTTGGACTACATGTTAAATAGTGGGGAGAAATTTAATAGAGTGGGTGAGTTGGCTAGACAGCAGGTGAAACCAGCACACCATGTGGTGAAACAGGAGTTCAAAAATTCGTAGTTTTGCTCGTGGGGCCAAGGTGTTAACAATGCTATCAGTGGTAGGTGCACTTTCAAAGGCAAGCTTTAGTGGGCTTCGCTGAATCAAAAGGAAATTGAGAGGTGAATTCTTTGATAAGAACGCCACATAGAAAGAAAAGAGAGTGTGAATATGCTGAAAAGGTATTTTGATAAAAAAGAAAAGTGAAACGAGAATGTCTACTCATTACAACTCAGAGGGAAGAACCAAGGTTGCAGACTTGCTCGCCGAGCTGGTATGTTTGATTGCAGACGTTTCATCACTCTGCTAGGTAACATTGTCAGTGCGCCTCCGGTGAAGCATTGGTGTTCTGTCCCGCTTGTTATTCTGAATTTGATTTTCCTCAAACTAAATTGGACAACAAGGAAAATTGCAATCACATAAAGATATATGTGGGAATAAGCTGGGAAGTAGGAAAATAATTACTCATGATGTAGATACAGGAAATGCTTTTCCAATTAAGAAATATCCTTCTAGACGTACTACTCTAAAATTGGCACATGCTCAAAAAGAGTTTGAAAGCATGCTCAGAGATGACATAATCGAATGATTTGCAGTGAACGGAGCTCACCCACAGTGATGGTATCAAAACTAGATGGTACTCAACAATTGTGTGTGTGGATGATCAAAAAGACAACGCAGTGAGAGAATCTGGGTTATACCTTATTCCAAGATTGAAAGATTGCGTTGAGAAGGTGGAACAAGCAACTTATATTTCTAAGCTTGACTTACTCAGAGGATACTCACAGGTACCTTTATCCAAAAGAGTGAAGGAAATTTTGGCTTATATGGCACCAAGTAGACTTTACCAGTTCAAAGTTGTGCAATTTGGTATGAAAAATGCACCATCCACATTTCAAAGACTAACCAATCAGGTCATTTTGGGATTATTCAATTGTATGGTGTATATAGATGATCTTGTCATTTTTAGACACATTTGGAGCGTCTATTGGAATTGTTCAATTGACTTCAGAAGTCAGGCTTGTTGCTAAGCCTGGCTAAGAGTGAATTCACAAAAATCCAAGTCATATTCCTTGGCCATATCACTGGATATGAACAGATGACCCCAAAGATTGTTTCAGAGATAGTAGGAACTGCAGATGCTGGAGAATCTGAGATGACAAGGTGTAGAGCTGGATGAAGGCCTTCCTGCTGCTCTGATGCTGCTTGGCCTGCTGTGTTCATCCAGCTCTACACCTTGTTATCTCTTATACAAAGAATGCTTCATTTTCAAAGCTTTTAGTCTCACAGACTGAGGGGTTTTAGTTTTGGTTTTAGTTGAGTCGAGTTGGTGTTAGCTAGCTGCTGGAAGAAATTCTAGGTTTCTCTGCTGCTGGACCTTTCTTTTGGTGTTCCTTTCTCTTCAACTAGAGAGGAGACAGCACATGAGGAAAAGAAATCTATTTTGCTGAGATTGCCTTTGCCAAGTTTGTGTTTATGGGATGCTGCCATAATCAGTTGATGATTGGAAGTAAAATAATATTGTCAAGCACTTCAATAGAGTTAACGTTATGCCAATTCATTTTTTGCTGTTTGTGTTTTAACTGTGTTGTAAGAATAAAATGTGTTTTGATTAAAGTCTTGCGGTGGACCAATCAAATCACACTTGGGCCACTGTACCTTACACTTGCCTTTAAACAAAATAAAATGTTGGGGACCAGGCTATTTCCTTGATATATTTTGAGGGAGTTTAGTCTGGTCTATCTACCCAATATCCTGACTTCTGCTAGGAGGCCTCTACATAACTTGCTTCAAGGTTTTTTTTTACCTTTGTGGTTCCTCAACTCTACCCGCACAGATTCTGTGACTTCTTCTGACTCTATGTCACTTCTTGCCATTGGTTTCGTTTCATTTCTAACAAAGAAGACAAACCCAACACCTCTGCATTGCCTTTTGATAGGACATGTATCCTTGGATGTTTAGTTCCCAGACCTGATTCCCTTGCAGCTACTTCTTTCTGATACCCACTACATTGTACATGCTAATTTCACTTTGTGATATAAACTCAATTACCCTGTTTCATATATTGCATGTGTTTAAGTATAATACATTCAGTCCTCCGCCTATCTTCTCATAATTGTCTGTTATCTGTTTGCTTGAAGTTAGATTCCTGATCCTTTTTATATTCTCTTTCCTATTATTTGTTCTGTTAACATTAATAGTCCTCACCAACTTTAACTAGTTTAAAGTCCTTGTGACACCTGATTCAGCCTTTTCACTAGGATCCTGGTCCCAGATCAGTTCAGGTGGAGCCAGTCCCAATGGTGCAGTTCCTTCCTGTCCCAATACTGATGCCAGTGCCCCACTAAATGGATCCCCTCTTTCCTGCACCACTTCTTTAACTACACATTTACTTCTCGATTTTTCTTACTCTTTGCCAGTTTTCACATTGCTCAATTTATCCAGAAGTTATAATCCTGAATTCCCATTTTTTGTGTTCCTAATTCCTGATATTTCCCAAAAAGGACCCCTTGCCTGCTCTTGCTTATATTATTGGTCTCAACATGGACCACAATAACTGGATCCTCCTCCTCCCACTCCAATTCCTATCTAGCTGGATCAAGATGTCCATTACCTTGGCACCAAGAGGGAATACACTATGTGGGACTCTCGATCCTCTGACAAAGGATGCACTCTGTACCTCTTACTAAAAAAATTCTCTTATATTATCACTTTTCTTTCTGCTCTCCACCCAGCTCGAATGGCCTTGTGTACCATGGTGCAGTGATCAGTTTGTACATCCTTCCTACAGACTCTTTCCTCATTCACGCAGGGAACAAATACCTCATACCTGTTGGGCAAGGTCAAGAGCTGAAGCTTCTTCAACGCTAAATTTAGGATCCCTCTACCTGTCTCACTTCTGGAGTACGTCAGGGGATCACTGATAGGAACCGGTCTGGGATCTTTACTGGTCAGTCCCTCACATTCAGATTCCTTGTCCTCCATTCCCTCACCCCACACTCCCCCAAACTCTGTCTCTGCTGTTTGACTCAGTGTGAGTCTGTTTAGTTAAAAATGTGTTTGGGAAAAAGAGAAGTGATTGAATTCTGAGCCCAGTGAGAGATAACAAATTTATCATAGTGTTTGTATTATATTTTGTTCCTCTTCTCACATTCTGCTTTTATTTTCCCAGCTTCTGATATCTCTGTTCCAGCCTCTTCAGGATTCAGTAAGTGACATTATAACTTTTCCTTTCACTGATGTATTTGTAACTTTCATTTTCCTCCTGACCCTGTCTCACCCTCCCAGACACTGTTAAAACTTCTCAGACTAATTTCACTCCCCTCCCCACGTTGAAGTGTCTGTCCATTCCTTGCCTTTTGGACCCCTTCCTGGGGTCCACTGCAGGACATTCCCACAGGCTCATTGAGGAATAACGGGATTCTCCCTTTCGTGTGAACGTGGACATCTATTCTGAGGAATGGTAAACGGACCCGAAATGTTAACTCTGATTTTTTCTTCACAAATGCTGGCAGACCTGCTGAGCTTTTCTAGCAACATTATTTTTGAACATGGACATCATTGTCCGTCCTTCCATATCACAGCAGACACACAGAATTACAGCTCATTGTTCATATCCAGTTCTTTCAGGATTAAGATAGATTTTTCCTGGGAATATGTTTCCACAAATTGAACAGTGGCTCCAGATCCACCAGGTGAGAATCCTGATTTTTCAGGCAAGACTTTCTCCAGGAGTGTTTCCGTCCTGTATTAGCAAGGTGATGGCTTTCACAGTGGAAGGGATCTTCAGGGATGATTTCCCCTCATGCTTACTCAGCCTCAACAACTTGCTCTCAATCACAGACATCATCTTGCTCTGTGTCAGAATCAGTTTTAAACAGACTTTGTAATCTTACTGTTCACCCTGAAATGTTACGGAAAAGATCATCTTCAGGACTTGGTCCTCAGACACTGGAACCATGTGAGCTGAGCATTGTCACTGTGATTCATGATCAGAGCATTGATACCTGGCAGCTCAGCTTTTGGATGGACTTTGATGTTAGGATCTTGTTTAATCGCCTGATCTTCATTGGCAGCGTCAGGAAGCTCAGGAGAAAATGATTTCATTTCATAATGTGGTCTGAATACATGATCCACGTTTCACAGAGAGCAGGATCCTGTTGGTAGATAGATCCACACAGAATGGAAGAGAAATAGATATTGATACGGTGTTACATAAAATATGATGGAGTTGGTCCTTCATTATGGATTGATTAAGATGTTAGGAAACATAAAATTCCAATCCATCACAGAGTGGTACCCAAACCTCATTAACTTAAGAGTTCTTCAAGAACAGTTAGACAGCTGTTTGACATGACTGACATAATGGAGCATTGACCTTTCAAACACGTGGGGTATGATGGATCCTCCCCACAGCTCATCCAGTTCCATCTGGGAGATTTTATGTCACCATCCTCTTTCCTGGTTGGAATCTACAGGGCCTGATTGGTCAAGTGGTTAGTTGAAGAAAACCTCATGTGATTCTAATGAGAATCTCAGATACCCTCCTAATTCCGGGACCTTTAATTTCCCCTCCTCAGGAATTAAGGATGCCCTCAACTGCATCTCCTCCGTCTCCCATATTTCTGCCCTCAGACCCCCTCCCCCCAACAGTAACAGGAAAGAGTCCCTTTAGTCTTCACATGTCACCCCACCAACCTTCGATTACAACATATCATCCTCCACCATTTTCACCACCTACAATCAGACCCCACCACCAAAAAGATATTTCCTTCCCCACCCCTATCCGGTTTCCACAGGGACTGTTCACACCATGACTCCCTTGTCAGCTCCACACTCCCCACCAATTCCTCCATCACACCCGGTACCTTTCCCTGCAACCTCAAGAGGTACAACACCTCCCCTCTCACCTCCGTCCAAGACCCCAAACAATCCTTCCAGATCTGGCAGAGATTCACGTGCACTTCATCCAACCTGATGTATTGTATCCATTGCTCCCGATGTGGTCTCCTCTATATCGGGGAGACCAAATGCAGACTCAAGGGCTGGTTTGTGGAGCATCTGCGCTTTGCAAGCATCAACCAACCCGACCTTCAGGTTGCCATCCATTTTAACTCTCCCCTCCCACTCTCCTGGTGACATCTCCTTCCTCGGCTCTGTCTAAGGATTCCCTCTCAGAATATGGGATTTATTGGGTGGTAAGGCACTCTGGTTTTGTTTAATTTATTTCTATTTCCCCAGTTGTTCCTTTAAACTGGAGCCGGATTTGAGCAGGATAGATTGTGTGGATCCAAAGTTGCTGGAAAAGCTCAGCAGGTCTGGCAGCATCTATGAAGGAAAAAACAGAGTTAACGTTTCAGGTCTGGTGACCCATCCTCTGAGACCCGAAGGGTTCCCCAGCTCCGTTGTCGACAGGGCCCTCAATCGGGTCCGACCCATCTCCCGCACTTCTGCCCTCACCCCTTCTCTTCCCTCCCGCAACAGCGATAGGGTTCCCCTTATTCTTACCTACCATCCCACCAGCATCCACATCCAGAAGATCATCAGACACCATTTCCACCACCTCCAGCGAGATGCCACCACTGGACACATATTCCCCTCCCCTCCCTTGTCTGCCTTCCGCAGGGACCGTTCCCTCCGGGACACCCTGGTCCACACTTCCTTCACCCCCAACACCTCCCCATAGCCCTACGGCACCTTCCCCTGTAACCGGCAAAGGTGCAACACCTGCCCATTTACTTCCTCCCTCCCCAGTATCCAAGGGCCCAAACATGCCTTCCAGGTGAAGCAACACTTCACCTGTACTTCCCAGCATCTAGTCTACTGCATTCGCTGCTCACAATGTGGTCTCCTCTACGTTGGGGAAATGAAGCGTAGACTTGGCGACCGCTTCGCAGAACGTCTACATTCTGCTTGCAAAAAAGACCCTGAATTACCCGTTCCCTGCCACTTTAACGCACCACCCTGCTCCCTGGCCAACATCTCTGTCTCTGGCTTGCTACAGTGTTCCAGTGAAGCCCAACGCAAGCTGGAAGAACAACACCTCATTTTCCGCTTGGCGACCCTACAGCCCTCTGGACTCAATATTGAGTTCAATAATTTTAGGGCCTAAACTCTCCCATGTCCCAGCCCCTTACCCCACACACCAGGCCTTGTTACCTCATAGCCTGCCATTACAAACCCACTGTCATTAGTCACTAACAGTCTCCATTAACAACTATTCACCCTCCCAGCCTGATCGTTAGCAACTCCTTTGTCTGTCCAACTGTCTTTCTCTCTCTTCGGGCTCTATCCTATCGTTTACTCCCTTCCCCACCACCTCCCTATTTTCTACATATAAACTAATGTTTTCCCAGCCACAATCAGTTCTGAGGAAGGGTCACCGGACCTGAAACATTAGCTCTGTTTTTTCCTACACAGATGCCGCCAGACCTGCTGAGCTTTTTCCGCAACCTTGTTTTTGTAGCTTGGTATCATCCTTTGTTCTGTAAAGTTCCCCTGAAGAATCCTGATGCATTTATTACTGCCTGAAGGGAGCAGTATAGACATTAGGAGTTGTTTCCCCTTCACAGTCTGAATTGTAAGCTGCCTGAGATATATCCTCCTGGGACTTGGAGACGAGTAACTGCCTATCCTATCAGTTCTCTGGTTCTACAATCCGGAAATGGTCAACGTTTAACATAAACTGCTTTTCAAGAAACTTCTTTTTTTTGTCTTCCAATTTACAGACAACGGTTTGTTTTGCTTCTCCTCAGAGTGTTTTATTCCCAGACCCTGATGGGAATAAGGACAGTGGATTCCCAGAATGTTGCTGATCCTTTTCTCCATCTCCCTGTGTTTTTCCTGGGTCTCTCCCGGTATGTACAGAATTTAGCTTTCCATTCTCTCTCTCTCTCTGGGGTGAATGTGAATCTCTTGGTGAGAGTTTGAAATGGGGGATGTTTGACCAGCCGCCTGTTATACAGCCAGCCTGATATTTTACACATTGAAGGCAGCACAGCCTGGGAGACTCTGATGGGATTTGTGTCCGGGCCTCCTGACAGCAGGATGTAGAAACCCCGAGATCAGGGAAGCTCTGAGCAAATGGGAAATGAATCAAATGGACAATTTAAATTTTCACATTGATTGAGGGGAGTCAAACAGCTTCATCCCTCCTGGTCTAAGGTCTGTGAACACTGCAGGGAGGAGAAGGATACTCCATGTTTAACCCACCCACGTTCAGCTGTGACGCCCTCATGGTTGAAAAGGCCAGGCTATCTAAGACCACCAATATCCTACTGGCTGTGTATAAAGGGATGATTAAAAAGCTCAGTGAAGGACAGTAGAGATCCTGCTCTTGACTGTCCATCCCTCTGTTTGACACAGTGACTGGCCTCCATGGTCTCTCACTTCATCCTCCAAAATATTCCTGTTTCTCTTCATTTCCATCCGATTCACTCAGCATTTTCAAGACTCTCCTGTCCTATTATATGCTTCATTGTATTTTGCTTTTGTAAATGAGGTTAGTTTAAATGGAATATGAGAAACTATTTATGACTCAATGCAGAGTGTACTTTTTCTGTCCACAAAGCCCTCTTATGTGGATCGAAATCGAGCATTATTGCTAGGGAATTGGTTGGTGCTAATTTAACATAAGGTTTTGCCATTTATAAATTTTAAGGTGAAACCAGAGGGCATGCACAAAGAGAATAGATCACTGTTAGTTCAAGTTATTCTCATTTGACCATCGTATTGTCATTTGGGGTACCTGTTCTATTATTTTAGGTATTACAATCAAATATTGCATAAGGCCGGGTTCAACAAAGCAGATTTGCTTGCATAACATGAACAACCAAGTTGTGTGCAATTGTCTGACAAAACAAAGTTGTAAAGTAGGCCATTATGAAACCAGAGCTTTCACTGTATTTTAAAACAGCAATGGAGTACAAAAGCCAAAAGTTAGGCTGAACACATAAAAGACAGTTAAGTCTTGGCTATTTGTCTGTGGTTGCATATTCCAGGTACCCGGAGCAACTCAGGGAAGGACTAAAGGATGGGATGGGCCTGAGAAGAAATAAGGAGCTCAGAAGCAGGAAAAGCACCAGGGCCTTTGATCTGTGTCCCTGGCCACGGACCCTTCATTTCACAGTTGGAAGTTCCAACAAGTCTGATTTTACCAGATGTCTGGTTTGTCCTCTTCATTATGGCATTCAGTCTTGATGGCCATGTTTATATGTGTGCTCACCAAATTTGTGACATAATTCCAGAAATTCATGTTGCAAAATTTTACCCAGAAGAACTGCCTTTGGATGCACCCACGAGTTTCATGATCACGATAACTCATTCTAATTCCGTTGACCATTTCATTGCTCGTAACATTAGGAAAGATTTTGACACCCGAGGCTATAGTATCGATCACAGTGGATGAGTTAGTGTCTGAAAATAAATCAATTAAAGGAGCTTGTTAATAAATCCCAATATAAGCATCATATTAATGTACCTACACTCCAGTGACAATAGTAACACCATAAACTTGGGAATATCACAACAGATTATTGGAAAATACTTTAATCATGTTACTGTTTGGAAGACACAATGAGAGGGACAGGCAGATAAGCATTTATGCACATGGAAATGTGTATTTATATTTTGATCGACCATATTTTATTAAATTGTGGAACAGGCTGAAGGGGCCAAAGTCCTGCTTTTTCCTTGTATGGAGCCTTTGCAATGTCTTCAACCTGATGCAGTAAGTGGATGATCCATCTTGGGAGTCCTCCAGTGGTCCCCAGCGTCACAGATGCTGGGCTTTAGCCATTTCAATTTTATCCACGTGATATCAAGAAACATCTGGCGGCACTGGATGCTGCAAAGGCTCTGAGCCCTGAAAACATTCCGGTAATAGTACTGAAGTCTTGCCATAACTCAGAAAAGGATAAACAGATTGGGGCTCTTTTCTCCTAGAGAGCTGCAGGGTGACTGCATAGAGATGTTTAAAATTATGAAAGGCTTTAATACAGTGGATGCAAAGAGCATTTGTACATGTGGGAAATAGCATGGCTGGAGGCCATCAATACAGCACAGATACAAAACTATCAAACAGAGAAATATTTTGTGAAGTTTGGTGAAAAGTCAAAAGAAAAATGTAATTACCCTATGATCCACTCCAATACCATTGCTTGGGGGTCCTTTCTACATGTATTCAACGCTGCTAGGTTAAGACAGACAATGAACTAGAATCTGGAGTTCCAAGCTGGCAGCCTCCACTGTCAGACATACAATGGGCACACCCTTGCTCCTGATAGAGTCAATGAGAGATGGACTTCAGCAAATGCCGATGGTTAAAAAGCTCATTAATTCTATAAATATTTTCATTGAATGTGTTCATGTACAAAGACAGAACACAACATTTTTCAGAACTTACAGTGTGTTGAATTGTGATATTAACAAAGTGATATGAAATGAAAGCACAGTGAGCCCTTTAGTGTTTTCAGTGAGATAGTGCCCTGTAGCTGTAAATATTGCTAAGACGCTCCCCCTTCTCCCCACAATGTGCCTCAGAGAGGTGGAGGCAGGTTTCTCACCTCTCGTGCTGGATGGAATTGAGAACAGGGTGGCTGGTCTCATAAGGCACCTCCCTCAGACTCGAGTCTCTGCAGTGACAGCCATGGAAAAGACAGGGCAGGTAAGGAGTCTGGCAGAGGGGCTGGGGAATGGTTCTTAGAACCTTCACCCTTTTCACTGACTTCCACAACGCTAGAATATATTCAGGTGGATTAGTTGGGTCTGGCTGCTGGTTGGCAGCAACTATCCAATCCAGCAACTGTTGTGGCACCAGAGAGAATGTCCTGTCAAGGGAATGTAGCTGCTCAGGTATTCCATAGACATCAGTGCTCAAACTGTGAGTGCACTGCTCCAGAACACTGAATGAGCCTTGTACCCTCTGCATAGTCCCCTAGTGTGATTTTACATTGAAAGAAGAGAAACACTAGGATGATTAGACCTTACAATTTGACATTGAGATCAGGCAGGTACTGCCCAATGTCACAGCTACTTGTTCTCAATCAGCTCAGAAACAGCTTTTCTCTTTGCCTCCATGAAAATGGTCACTTTGTTCCTCAGTTTCAGAAACCACATCAGCAGAGCTCCCCCCACCCCAGCTGAGCCATCTGTCTTCACAATAATAAACTAAATCATTGACTCTGATTCCAGATCTTTCGGTAACTCTGTCACCTTGTGCCTGTTTAAAGCACCATTTATCAGAAAGGTAATGTTTAGTGCTACTTCCAACATGATGTTGCTCAGCAGCAGGGACTGGGTGGACAGATCCTCTTGAAGAATGAAGCCGTGAAATACAATAAGCCCACGTGGAAGAAGATTGAAGTGATCTATCTCTTTCGTGACTGGAACAACTAATCCCTCCTGAGATCTGACCATGGCTTGAGCATCATCAGTCATAAGGTTACTTCATATTTCCAATGATAACTGAAGCCTGTGCTCTGCCAACGTAACCCCCTCAAAAAATATCTTTTCCTTTGGTGGTTTCATGTGTTGCTGCTAAAGAAAGCAAGTGTTCTTGAACCTCAGACTCTGCTGTGATTCTGGATAAGGACATCACCAGTTGGCCTGTACTTGCTGTCTCATCAAGAGCCAGAGAGTAGAACTTGAAATCAGCCACAGCCTCTACTTCCCAATATTCTGAGCTGTATTATCAATCCAGTCCAACACTGTCATGAACATGGACCATAACACCAGAGCACCAATAGGTATTGAACTTCTAATTTCAACATGTGTTTCATTTAACAAACAGGAGATAAAGCCAAAAGTGCATATAAACTCAGTAACTGTCTTTAATGAGACCTTGGATTAAAGGTAAACAGGGGAATTTCAAACAACAACCCTTCCAAGTGGAGAGAAGCAAGTCAAAACAAACAGAACTGTGATCCCTTATGACCACAAGGGGCTGACTACATTGTTTTCAGCAGCAAACCGGATTGTTTCCCAAACTGCAAATGTATTTTGTATTTTACCCTTTCAAGAATACAAGAGGACAAGGGTTAAAATAAATTAAAATCCTGACCACATGTGCTTGGAAGCAAAGACGTTTATCTGTACTAGTCTGGTTCAAGGGAGTTCTGAACAAGGGTCACTGGACCTGAAACATTAACTCTCTAATGCTGCTAGTCTTGTGAGTTTTTCCAGCATTTTTTTTGTCATGAATTTCCAGCATCCACAGTCTAATTTTTATTTTCAGTGTTTTCTGAAAGTTGCAGTTATGGAACCATCAGCTGTAATCCCTGCATTCTGGGGAAAAGAATCTTTCTCTCACACTGAGTGCTGGAAGCCAGACTGCAAGCCAGTTTGAAAGGAAATGGAACAAAAGAATTTCAATTCATCTGCAAATTTTAGAATCCAGATGTCAACTGCAATAGGAGTGATGGCTTAGTGGTATTTTCACAGGCCTGTTAATCCAAAAACACAGATAATGTCCTGGGGACCTGCGTTCAAATCCTGTCATGGCAGTTGGTGGAATTTGAATTCAATAAGCATTTAAAACTAAGAGTCTAGGACTGTAAATCTATTGCCAATTGTCAGTGAAAAATCCATCTGGTTCATTAATGTCCTTTAGGGAAGGAAAGTACCATCCTTACCTGGTCTGGCCTAAATGTGACTACAGACCCACAGCAATGTGGTTGACTCTTAACTGCCCTCTGGGCAATTAGAGATGGGCAATAAATGCTGCCTAGCCAGCAATGTCCTCATCCTGTGAATGAATAAAGAAAAATAACTATCCACATTCCACTATGTCTTCTTCATAAACGATACAGAAGCTAATCCCAATATCTTTTACCTTTTTTTCTCACTCATTTTTCATTTATAGATTGTGTCTATCAATGCAGGGTTACTTATCTCTTGTCACACTTAACAATTCACTCTTTTATCACAGCGGAAAGCCTGGTTTTAAAACACAAATTAGTTTGGTCTGTGAGAAACACATTCACAAGGGAAGGGTATCATCTCAAATGAACCTTGTTGTCACCGACCATGGGGCAGGAAAATATTCCTCCTCACCCGGTGTTTGGTAATTTGGAGTATCCAGTCTGCAGGCAAAATAAATTGGAGAACTTCACCTGGGGACTGATCGTATCGACATGGTCTGAGGAGATAAAGTTTCTCTAGAGCCAGTAAAACTGTTCACAATGGTGCACTCCCTTCCAGACTCTGCCCCGAAATAAGGCTTGAGATTTATTTGTGCAGAGTTCACTTGTTGCATAACTGCTGTGAATAACGCTATCTTCTTCATTGGCCTTGTGAAATTTGGTTGCTGTATGTCCAAATTCTTTCACTTGCTCTTAGATATTACCTGCACACACCTCCCTTGAAATTCTTCATATTTGACATGCTTTGCGCTGTAATGTCATTCCATGTTGGGTTTTTTTCTCATGACAGGACTTGTTTCTCTGTAAACCAGGCATACTTATTTGCATTTCATCTCTACAAAACATGGGGGAGAAAAAGACATGACAGTTCACATCCACTTTTCTTCTGTTGTTTGCAGCAATTATTTTTGTCTTGTCCTTCTGTGGTAGGCCCTTCTGATAAAAACCTTTGCTCATGTTTCCTAGAAATTTCACCCTTGAGCGAAAGTCAAGTAAATCTTTCAGCCTCTTTTGACTCCTCAGGAGTTTGGTCTTTTCAGTTCAAATTCCAGTTCAAATTGGGATCCCACCCACAATCCTGCCCAGTGAATTACAAAGAGTATCTAGCTGCTCTCTCTCTCTCTCTCACACACAAAGCCTAGTAGACTATCTGTCATGCCTAAATCCATGTCAATATAAATCACATTGCCCTATATCCAGGTAGTAACGCTGATTACCTATTCTAGAAGTAAATGGACAATCTACCACATCACATTTTCAACACCTTTCGTGGACTTGGGAGATTGTTATTGTAATTGCCATCATCACAATGTTCTCATCAATGTCGACATATTTGAACACATTGTGCACTCTTCCCAGTGAGACAACGGTCCCCTTCCAATCTCTAACAATGAAACCACCCAGGCATGTTGTCAGGCAGACTTCAGAATAGGTCATGTGATTCCTTTTATTTTCAGTTAAAGATACAGTTCCAAAACAGCTGAATTTTATAAATCTCATAAATGTAATAAATGTGACTGATATTTCATGGGCAGGTTATGAAGAGGTCATGTGATGGGATATTCTGTGGAAGGATATTGTAGAATTATATAAAATGTGCATCACAAGAACAGGCCAGTGAATGTAATTAACTCATGCCAGTGTTTGTGCTGCACTTGTGTCTACCTTGAGATCCTTTCTCTTCTTTCTCTGTCAACAGAGTGCTCCATTCCCTTCCCCTATATATAGTCATTCAACTTTTCATTCAGTGTGTTTGATTCAACTGCTGCTTGTAGCTGTAAGTTCTACATT